GGCCGCTGCGCGGAAACTGCCCGTGCGGGGTGCGCGGTTAGGCGAGGGGCGGCTTCTTTACTGTGGGGCTTCTGCACCCAGAGAGTCCGGCAGCTGCGCGTGTCACTTTGTGAACGTACGCCTCAAAATGTTCCTGAGGCTCGCCTTCAAACACAGTTTATCTTCTGTGGTGACTTACTTTAATTATGTGTCTCACTTGGTGAGACTGAAGGATTCACCACTTTCCCAAATGATGGAAAGTGAATTGTGGACAAAATTAAGATCTATAAACCCTAATGCACACAGTACTGGGCTTTTGGGTTCTTGATTTATCCAATGCATGAATGCAAACAATGAGAAATATTTTTACCCTGGAGGTACATGAATACTAAATTATAATTAGCATCTTTTATGAACTCCAGATAATTGGAGTTTGACAATATGGACCGTTTTGTAGCCCTGGGTGCTGTTTTCCTTTGTGTTTTCTTTATTTTTATTATATAGCATCTCCAGCAATTTTTCAGTAGAACCCAGATGAGTAGGAAGCATTCAAAGCAATTAATAGCATCCCTGAAAAAAATTCCAGCATTTCTTTTGAACTTGTGAGACTTCAAAACTCACTGCTAATGCTGAGGCCCACCAGACCTAGACTGCTGCACCTAGATCTTGAAGCATCTATCTGTGTGACTTCTCAAAGACATGATCTTTCCGGCCAGTCCACTCTCCGTTTAGCTTTTTCATTATCATTTTTCTGTCCTCAACAAATATTGGCATGTCACTAATATTTTTAACCATCGCTGTGAACCTCTCTTCTTTTGAAAGTTTCCCCTTTGTATTACGCTTTGTTATATGTTACACATGTCAAGTCTATGTTATAACTGTGTTACCTATAAGTTGTTCTTCGTTTTTAGATGCCTTCATAGCTTGTGTCCGACTCCGCTTACCACCTCAACGTTGTACAAGAGGTTAAGTTCTAAATTCTAGTCCTGATCCATTTGCTGGCTAGAGCCCACTGCCTACTTGAAAGATTTTCAAAGAGGGGGCTTCATGGCTTTTCTGATAGAGCCATTACCATAAATGTGTAAAAGTGGGGTTGTCTGTAGCTATCCTATCACTTCAGTGCATTCCATCAAATTCCTCATTAAAATTACTTCCCTCGATACTCACAGGAAGCTTCACGGCCACAAGCTGCCGTCTACTGGTACAGTCTCTGTGTTAGGCAATCTCTTTGTAAAGCTCTTAGCCCAACAGCACCTAACGCATGGGTAAAGGTCATACCTGCTACTGTGATACAAGTAACCGTATAGATCTAAAGAGCAGGTATTTTTCTGCCTGTCTCACTCCCAGCGTCTGATGAGGAGATGTGCTCCGACGATGCCTGATTTTACACACAAAGGAAGCCCTCAAAATTTCTTTTTATCTGGTAGTGAAAATGCTCACCTGGAACGCAGGATACCTGGATTTAAATATCTCTTTCGCCTGCAAGTATCAGAGCCTACAGAAAGCCTTGATCTCGGGGGCTAGAACATATTTTGCAGTGGGGTCCTTTCAGTTCCTTCTTCTCATGTGGCTGTTCCACTTTGTGTGGAAATTAAGTATTCCTTGGGCAATGAAAGAAAAGGATTGGCATACCACAGACAAAGAAGTGGGGGAACCAGGGACTGATTATCTGATAAGTACTCATTATCTTCTCAACCTCTCTTATATCTGCTGATGATGAGTGCTTTTCTAAACTGTGTAAAAATAGAAGAGTTAATATACACAGAAGAACTTTACTTGATAATAAAAAACACAATGGGATCATCTGAGGAATGACAAAATATTAGTCTAAATTAAATAATCCAGACAAAAGTTTCCCTGCAGGAAGAGTATCTGACATAGTTTAAGTTCCTGTGGCACATCACAATAAATGTATGTTTTATAAACAGGTTTTTTTTTTTGCAGTGTGTCTTTTTTCATTTGAATCTGAGAAGATCAGTAATTTCAATTAAAAGTAAAGGTCAGCCCTTCATGTCTTCCAAAGTACCACTGATTGAAAAGGAATTAGCTGTGAGTTTACAGCAGATAAGAATCTGACCCGTTGTTTCGCAATGAATTATTTGCATATTTGAAGTAAGAATTAAACTAACACAGATACGATATTTGGTCAACAAATTTAATGTAGTTTATGCATTCATAGTCACATCTTGAAACCATTTCTATTCCACAAGGAGAACCATCAAAATCATCTGTCAGCTACCTGCTCGGTGCTCAGCAGTGGTAAAAAATCATACAGAAAGTTAGGAATTGTTAGGAAAGGATTTTGAGAACGAAGCACAGAACGTCGTCGTGCTATTGTATGTACCCACAGTTCACCCTGACCTTGAATACTGTGTGCAGTCCTGGTTCCCTCAAGGCCAGAGTAGACCAGAAAAGATTCAGAGAGGGGCTGCGCACATGACATGTTTTCTGTACTAGGAAAGCCTGAGTAGACTGGGTCTTTTCAGACTGGGAGAGAGCCCACTGAAGGGGGCAATGACAGATGTTTTGCTTTATCTGCATAAAGCCATGAGTGGTCTGGTGAGGCTGGACTGTCTTCCAACACAAGAACTAGAGGCCGTTAAATGAAGCCAATGGGAGGCAGGTGGAAAACATACAGAAAGAGGTGATTTTTGTCAGGCAAGGTTTAACATGCTTGTAGAATTCCTCCCTTGCCAAAGGATGTTGTGGGCACTAAATGTTTAATTGGATTGAAGGGGAGACTGGCCACATGCTTGGCAGAGAGAGATACAGAGAGGTAGAGAGCCACATCATAAATCCCCTAACTGAAAGTAGTCCAAGTCCAGGATTAGTCTAATACGTGTTCTCGCTCTTAAGCGTTTGCTTCTGGTTACTGTTGAACACAGGGTGCTGGGCCAGATGGAGCCTTGATTCGAATCTGCACGGTTGCTGTCGTGAGGTTCTGGCTGCTCGAGTTGTCAAAGAAGGACCTGTTCTGTGCAGGTTGCCGACAGATTGCATGGTGGTTTCTTACTACAGAGAGCATAACAAAAGGTTGATTTGAGACTGTTTATATGGCCTGAAGGTCTGAACAAAACCTGATTGACCATTTTCTTATTTGGTGATATGCCAGATGAACCACCTTTCCAGTGCTATATGGCACAATGCAGTAGTTAATTACTGAAAGCACCGGCATAGTCATTTTTTCCTCTCAGAGTTATACATAGCCACAGATTATTCATCTTTTTGCCTCTCTATCTCCTGCATTGTCATTCTCCTCACAGCTTCCATTTTCTGGCACTGGCCAATAACATGGAAAAAGCAAATCAAGAAAATAAAACCCATTGAATTCCAGTGATGTACGTTTTCTCTCCTTATTTCTTGCTGACTTCCTCTCATTCACTTTCTTCCCTTTTTTTTTTCTGCATAATTGTTTCTAAAGCATGGACCACTTCCTCCTCATTCTGTCTCTCTGCAGACCCAGAAATGTAGTTAAAATTTCAGGTCATTAACAGAGCATGTCACCTACCTCAGAATTCCATTTTATAAGCCAACTATTCTTCATTGTTTTAAATACAACAGGTGTAAGCAAATGAGAAGCAGGGAAGATAGATGTGAGCAGCACCGAGAAAAACTATTTACCTGTTCTTAATATATCAGCTTGATAAGACGTACATTTAGGAATTTTTGGACTTAGTCAGAAGCATGCTGCAATGTATTTTTATATTAAACTGAATAAAAGTGAGGTGATAAAATAAATTTCAAAGATATACATTCCCATTATTCAGCTGAATAAGAGGTGTAATTATAGTTCCCATACAGATTGTGTATTTAAGAGCTTGCTCATTGATGATTTGAAATAACCTACTTCTTACCACAGATTGTGGGTGGTGCATTTATGCAACATGGCTGGATCTCAGCCATACTGAAATCATCTAAATATATTTATCTAAGCAGCAGCAGGATCAGGATTTTGTTCATGTAACTTTTGCTCTTCCAAGTCCAGTAGATCCTCAGATTTTCAGGGACCTGATCCAAAGATAACTGAACCCCATGGGACTCTGTCTATTGATGGTAATGGACTTTGGATGAGAGAGCCTCTTTTTGCAATTCTGGCTCCAAGGAAGCCAGCAAGATATGACAAAGAGCTTATATATATGTTTCAGGCCAGGAACCTGATTTTCATAGCATAATGACAATGCATCTAGAACTGCAATACTGAAAACTTGTTTCATACTATCCCTAAGTATTATATGAAGAATCAATTGATAATTTTGTTTGAAAAAATTATGCTGAAAAATCAATAGGATTATTTGGAGTTTTTTTTTTCATCTTGTGTATTAATCTTATTTATCAGATTGGTTTTATATTGCATCCATATTGCCACCACGTCATTTAAAAAAAAATCTGTTTTTCTGACATGCAGAGGCATTTTCAATTTTTACCAAGTACCTTCACATGATTTTTTCCCACAGATGGGAGAAATGTACATATATATAGTACTCTTAGAAAAATATTAACTTTTCATTGTATAATACCAATAAGTACGATTAATTAATCTCTTTTGGCCTTTTTTGGTGCTATATTTAAAACTGATACTTTTTTCATTACTGGAGAGACAGGAAGGCAGGCATAGGAATGCCCGAGGCAGTAGAATATACCAAGATTCCCAGACCACATCTGAACTAGCAAATGAAATAGATCTGGGACCATTCTCTAGCGCTGAGTCCAGCTGGTACGGAGCCGCCCTTATCTGTATTCTAACTTCTGAAATTTGCCTGAAAACACTTCAGGAAGAATGTTAGTTGGTCCAGGCCAAAGAGCTGACTGAGTACTTTGTAACAGTTGAACAGCCTGGATGTTTGTGTTCCTTTGTGCCATTTCCTGGCACTTTTTCTAAGATGGAGCTATGCACGGTGTAAAAGAAAAGGGAATACCTGTATGGGTTTAGAACAGAAGAAACCAGAAAATCAGAAAAATTGCTTAGCATTTGCAGTTATAGCCTGTCGTGAAAGTGTTTAATCTGTATGTCCCCCATGTTGCACAAGAACCGTTATTAACAGTGTGGAACCGCTGGCACTGTCACCTTGGCCCTAGGAGTAGTCTTGAAACTTGCAGGGACTTCTTGCAAGAGAGTTTGGATTCAGTAGGCACGACAGGATTCAGCCTATTCTCCCTCGACATGAGCAACCAATTAAATACGACAAAAATCATGGGACGTAAGGCTCCTTCTTGAAGGGCGCTATGAGACAGGTAGGCACTTGAGCTAAAGACTCTCTTTTTTTCTATTCTTTTTTATTTATTTGAAATAACTCTTTAATTTTTAAATCATTCTTTGCACACTTGTGCCTACGTATTCTACTCTCTTTAGTATCTGCCTGCATCTCTGGGAAAGATGCTTTCTTTCCTGTTTATGCCCAGCATGCAGTTTTTAAACAGGTTTTGCCCAGATAAGTAGCCTGAGTAAGATTCTAATTTACAGCTATTGATTCTTTCCACACCTCCTTCTGCCCAGTGAAGGAATGTTCTGTTATCCAGTTACTTCTGTTGTGAGGTACTTATTCTGTGCTTTAATCAAATAATTGAATCATCTCTCAGTCTTCTATATGATGAACAAATGGAACCCTTTACATTATTTTATTGAATCACTTTCATCTTTTTCTGTACCGTTTCCACTTTTTCAATATCACCAGAAAAGGCAAGATGAACTGCACATGGAAATCTAGTATTGATCTCCACAGAGGTGGTAGTCTTCACTCTCCCATGCCTTGTACTGCTCACTCCTTCCCGCTTAATACACTCCAGGCTTGCACGAC